AGTGTGTGTGAGAGAGAGAGAGAGAGGGTGTGTGAGAGAGAGAGTGAGAGAGAGTGTGTGTGTGTGTGTGTGTGTGTTTAAACACACCCGTATAATGACACGGATCGCCGCCATTCCGGATGTGGCCATAACTTTAGCACTGTTGGGGACGAGGTTCAGTAACGTTGGCATGATGTTCTCGGCTCCATGATCAAATTTATTGCCCAACACAGACGACAGGTGCCTAGAAGAGACACATCAGAGATCAGACTAACACAGAATACTTAAATTCGGTTTCAAAACATTTTGAGGCTGTCATAACCATGCTGCCTTCTAAGATACCTCATTTTAGTCTAAGCATTGCATCTATCCTTTGCAGAGAATAATGCATGAAACGTGAAGCAATGTGATACATTGTGAAGTAGATTATAAATACACTTCATGCAATATATATCTATATATGTGTGTGTGTGTGTGTATCTATAAACACAAACTTCATGAACATATTCATGCAATATAAAATGTTTAAATATTTATTTATATATATTATATATATTTTAATATATTTAATCAACACTTACACTACAATTAAATTTATGTAATATTGACTATATATAATTATATGTGTATATGTATATGTGTGTATATATATATATATATATATATATATATAACCTATTTATATATATATAACATTTTTTAATATATTTAATTAACACATAAAATCCATATAATACTGAAAAGCATCAAACATATTTAATACAAATTCTATCATATTTATATATTTATATTTATATAGAATATACTGTATAAAACATTCAATTAACACTTAAAAACTCATGCAAAGTATCAATAAAATCAACAAAATATATTGAATTTTATTTATATATTATATTTATATAATATTTAAATATATATATAATTAACACATAAAATTCATGCAATACTGAGAAGAATCAATAAAAATATTGACTTTTATTTATGTTTATATATCATATTTAAAAATACATTTAAAATACAAATAAAAACACATTATTTTTCCCAATATTTATGCTTATTAGAGCATCATGTCATTAATATGCTAAACTGAAATCAATTGTGTGTTTTACATGAGGAGCTACATTTGTGTTCCAAATAAGTTGTTTTTGTGGTTCCTTTTCAGCTGTGATGTTGCCTATGAAGGCGGTTGCCTATGGTTTGGAACGGAGCCCATCTGTCTAATGAGAGTGTGTGTTTTCATGCACACTAAGAACCTTCACACTCTCTGCTCCATCATGAAGGGCAGCTGATCTTACAATGCTGGAATCTGTCCAAAGTTTGAAACCAGACCACTTAAACTAATTCTTTTCATTAAACTAAGTCTGTCAGCAACACTCAGCAGTCACTCCATCTTCAACTAGGGCTGAACGGGATGATGGTTTATACCAGCAACTGCGTCAACCCGGAGAGATCTGAATGGCTATCAGTCGATACGACTGCTTTACATTACAGAACATAATCAAAGGAGATGAAGCAGCTTTTATTTAGTATATTTTAGTCTAAAAACAAACATTTTACTCACCCGAGTGTGATACAGGCCTCGCGCACCACCTGCGAGCGCAGATCTTTGGCCGACAGTTTGAGCGGCCCCTCCAGCTGCCGTAACTGCTGCGAAAAACCATCGTAGTCGCTCGCGCCGACCAACAACAGAGAACGAACCTTCTTTAGCTGTAAATGAACCAATCAACGGGTCAAAGGTCACAACTAAATGACATGACCCTAAAATACTTGATCTATGTGATAATGACCAGATTGGCAAGGCAAGGCAAGGCAAGTTTATTTGTATAGCACATTTCATACACAGTGGTAATTCAAAGTGCTTTACATAAAAGAAAAGAAAAAAAAAATAATCACAACAATAAAACAAGGAATTTAAAAACATTGAAAATGATTAAAACAATTGATTTAAGAAGTTTAAAATGAATTTAAGAAAACGATAATACGTAGAATATAGTGCAATCAGTTCGGACATAGCACAGTGCTCATTCAATGAATGCACAGCTAAACAGATGAGTTTTGAGTCTGCATTTAAATGTGACTAATGTTTTAGCACATCTGATCTCTTCTGGAAGCTGATTCCAACTGCGGGCGGCATAATAACTAAAAGCAGACTCCCCTTGTTTTGGGTGAACCCTTGGTATTTCTAACTGACTTGATCCTAATGATCTGAGTGGTCTGTTAGGTTTATATTCAGTGAACATATCTGCTATGTATTTAGGTCCTAGGCCATTGAGTGACTTATAAACGAGTAAAAGTACTTTAAAATCAATCCTAAATATAACTGGAAGCCAGTGTAAGGACCTGAGGACTGGTGTAATATGCTCAGATTTTCTGGTTCTAGTCAGAATTCTGGCAGCAGCGTTCTGTCTTTAGCTGTAAATGAACCAATCAACGGGTCAAAGGTCACAACTAAATGACATTAAGCAAGAATACTTGATCGGTAGCGAAGCCGGCAGATTGATTGTACTTTACAAAATAAGCATGACCAAATGGACTTGTATCACTCTGAAAGGGTCTATTTTGTATGGAAGTTTGTTTCTGCGATAGGATAAAAAAATTTAAATTATGAGATATAAACTCAGAATTGTGAGATATAAACCCAGAATTGAGATATAAACTCAGAATTATGAGATATAAACTCAGAATTGCGAGATATAAACTCAGAATTGAGATATAAACTCAGAATTGTGATATAAACTCAGAATTGAGATATAAACTCAGAATTGAGATATAAACTCATAATTGCGAGATATAAACTCAGAATTGAGACA